CCCCCCAAACGCATGACGATTCGTATCATCTGGATTACGCATAGCTTCTCTGCGATTTACGGTCCGTATATCTTAGGCGTAGCTTGGACCCCCCCCCCCCCCCCCAATACATTTTGCTGGATCCGCCACTGATTGGAACCATTCACGACCTATTCGTGTGTGGTGTTTCACTTAAAATACATTTTTTTCACTAAATATAAATTAGCGTGACCAAAACATTTCTGATTCAATGGTTATGGATTTTAATCAAATCTCTGTATTTTTGTTTGTTTTTGTGGAGGAGGTTCATAGTTCATGCTAGTTCATAACTAATTCGTTTTTTCTTACGGTCCGAAACTATTTTTGGGGGATTTTTTTGAAAAGAAATGCATATTGTTGTTACTTATTTTCGACTTGCTTCTGTTTTAACTAACCTGTCTCAATTTGGTAAGTATTTTTTTCTGGGAATGAGTTGTAACATATTTGAGACAAATATACTGCAGACTTCTCTCGGGAGAGTCAACATTAAAAGCCTAGAAAATGACTGTTTTGTTCTTTGGTACGTTCTTCAGGTGTCATAGACCTAAATTACATCTCCTAGCGCATGTTTGATTACGGGCTCTTGTTCATGAGACCGTCATGATCTTAAAATAGAACCGTATAACCTCGGCTCTATGTTAGAAAGTACATATTACGTCATGGTGATTTATTTTGAAGAAAAAAGTCATTTATTAGCACTTTAATAAGCTATGGATTTCAAATGAATAGATGCACTTTCAAGTTTCCAGCATTTGTAGTATGTTTTAAATGCTATAACAATTACCTATCATAAAATTCGTTGTTTTTGTTTCCAGCCTCTGATCCGGTTCCGACGAGCAGTTCGGATTGTACAGACGTTACTCAGAGCGCTCACCACTTCCGACAGGTATGCCATCTTTTTAACATCAGCCACTGTGTTCCGATTGTTTTGTGCCGGCTCTATTTCGATTGTTAACGAGTAGATAAATTGAGGTGGGGTGGCGATGTCAAGTCAAATTTCTATAGCATTTTATGTGCCCTGTCACGGCAGATTCACAATTAATTGCAGTGGCCTTCGGTAAGTGTACTATAAAACATCACGAATGCACTTTTAAGACAGTGGTCAGGGGGTCTGTCTTAGTAAGTGGGCTGTGCTACAATTACTAGTATGTGTATGAATTTACCGTATTGGTATATCGCACTATAATTAAACTCCTCATAGACGACAAGTACCATATTTTGTTTTAAACTCAATAATAATGTTTAGTTATTAACAATACGCCACCGGCCAAATTGTATACAAAGAGAAAAGCAAGTAAATTAATTCAGAGGGCGCTGCAAAATAGCACTAATACAAGGAATCAATAGTTCTCCTCACTATTGTCATCCTGGCCGTGCATTCGTGACAAAGAACGCATACTTGGGACACATCTCGTAAGACTAACAGGTTGTTTGATTGTAACAGATGTGTGAATTTATTAAAAGTTGGAACAGTATAGTATTATTTTGGTAGATATTTTGATCTTAATTCGTTGTATAATGGATAAACTAAACACAAGTGGTAATCGTTTTCCAATGTTATTTATTTTCTCAAAGTGTACGTTCTATCAATAGCGAATGATTCGATACATTGAATTTCGTCAATTATGCGCATTTTTGTAAAGTTTGGGTACAAAACAGTAAAGTTTATTTTAGAGAATTTCACTGCCCAATACATCAGTATGGGCATTATTTTTGCGTCAAATATTTTAAAAGTTATTTTGTTATCTGTACAGGACTTTCTGTCCGTTAAATACAGTTGTTTTGCTTGCATTGCTAATTGTCTGTGTGCCACATTCCACAGGCCTGAGCAATTGTAAACAGCCACATCCTCTGATTTACAACTATTATAGAACTATCGTTCATTAAATTTAATGTTACCACCAAATTTTGTAAAATTAACTATTAGCCTCGATTTCCTGGCGTATAGTGACATTTTATTTTGTAATTTCCGTAGTACAGTCTGAGTTGAACTAAAGAGAGTTAAATCATCAGCGAATAACAGGAAAATAATTCTCACTAATGTGTGCTGAAGCCAATATTTTTGACGAAAAGTGTAAAACGACGACAAAATAGTAAACCTCGTTGTCACAGCGGTTGAAAGTCTTCAAAATATGGCCGACTCAATCACATTGGTTGAAAACTGGAAAACTTAGACAGTTCCCTCAGCTGAGTCTCTTCTGAATGTCCAAGTACGCCAATTTAAAACCAGTCGATAAAGCGAACTCTGTTATTCCGCATTTACAATTCCAGTATGCCATCTCTTGCCACACATTTGTTTTCAAATTCAAAATATGAGACGGTTAGAGAGGGTTATACTTATAATTGTGGTGAGAAACGTTTTCACATGTGCATCTGAAAGTACCGAAACTTGAGTAAAATTGCAACCTATCCGGAATTAACACTTGCTCTAATTCCATTCAATTCATTCAGGCAATTCTGTGCGAGAGAGTGAAAAGGTAGATTTAACTTGCGACTATGGCAGACATTCACTCGGTCTGCTTGAGAAAACCATAAATTGGGTTAATCTGTGCCACAGATTTTTGAATTACCAATGTATTACTATCATTGTTGGGACATCACTCAACACGTACGGATTCTTAGAGGGCGGATAGTCTCAATTCGTCTCCACGGAAGCGTTAAGCGTTCCAATTACAGTACGAGGTACCCAGACCCCCCGGGTCGGCTCAAGAAAAACTTGTTTGTAATTCGTGGTATATTGTTCATCAATATGTATTCCATCAAGAGACAAAACTGGTGGTGTGCAGAAAAATGACACGAGGCAGGGTTGCGGGTTTCAGTGTCAGGTGGTATTTTTTTGTACGAGTACGTCATTCTTTAGGCTCGTTTGCACCCAGTCCTGCAATAATAACTAATATCGTTTTCCAAATACCTACTTATCACACCACTGCATAGCGAGTAAATATTTCACCTCGAATTGCTGAATACGTTGCATTTATGTGGCGCGTTTAATGAATGCGCGGGTCCGTGGACTTCATAAAAAAATAACTTCGGACGAGCCTACACGTTAATGACGTACTGGGACAAAATCGAAATTGGTGTAAACAACGCCATTTAACCCACCCTGCCTAAACAAGTATATAACTCTATTGAGTTTGTCTGTAGAATGGCCATACACACAGGTGGCTGCGTTACATTTCAGTTTAATTGTAATATTATTATTATATTGTTTTTTTTAGAGAGGCGAGGTTACGTAATTCTGAGTTGAAATTCCTCCTATATTCACCAGAAGATAGCCTTGATTCAACGATAGGCGGGTCTGGGCTCTACTTTGACGTATCTTATTACAAAGCCAAAAAAGAGGTGAGTAGATGAAATAAATAAATAAATAAATAAATAAATAAATAAATAAATAAATAAATAAATAAATAAATAAATAAATAAATAAATAAATAAATAAATAAATAAATAAATAAATAAATAAATAAATAAATAAATAAATAAATAAATAAATAAATAAATAAATAAATAAATAAATAAATAAATAAATAAATAAATAAATAAATAAATAAATAAATAAATAAATAAATAAATAAATAAATAAATAAATAAATAAATAAATAAATAAATAAATAAATAAATAAATAAATAAATAAATAAATAAATAAATGTGACGCATGGTAGGATTATCCACTGCTAAGCGAGGCGAGAGATTTATTAGACAGCATATTCCCAAAGGAATTTCGTAGGAAATTAAACTCAATTGAATTTTCGTGAGTTTCATTACAGCAGACTTTGTAAGGATCAAGTCATCATTAAGACTGAAATAGAACGTTCGTTGTTAGAATAGTAGATAATCAACTTATAGTACTTTGTGTGCTATCGTTCTATCAATCGGTATAAAAATATTTGTATTTGATGATTTTTTTAAAGGCTTTCACACGAGGCACAGTTGGTATGGAGGTTTGGTTAGTGAAATTAAATAAAAATGACTAGTGTATTTTTTATGACGTTATTCTGTCATGTTCCGCCATTATCGACGTGTTATTTATCCGTAATATATCCAATCGGTCCAATCTTCAGATAATGACATTTTGGCGAAATGATCCTATTTGGAAATAGGACATGTATAGGTTTTATTTAGATACTAGTATATCGTATAGAGTGAGTGACCTGCGACTGGGTTGTTATATGACAATGACAATGTACTCTCAGACTCGTAATGAACAGCGCACACAGCGACCGGCAGATGTCTTTAAAGAATGCCGATTTCATATACTTGAATTTCTATTCACAAAAACACTGTATTGTTATTAGCAGCAAGGTATCCCCTGAATGTGTGCGAGATTAGGTTTAATTTATAACACTGAAAACTGAAACAACTTGCGCTGCGTAAACATTCCCCTACTAGAATTGAAATTGCATTGATAGGGATCTTATCGCCGCGCACCTTAGGGGGAACCGTGTCCGAATTCTTTAGCCAGTCCTTGGCAACCCCGATCTTCCTTTTACAATAATGTCCTTTTCTTAACGCACTTTGCCAATATTCTTCTTTTTATCTACTTAAACACAACAGACGCATATTAGTCCCGATGCCAAGGCCATATTGTCCATGCCACCCGAAGAACGGACGGAAGAACAACAAAAAGTGGTGAGTAAGTCGGTATTGTTATCACCTTGCATATTAACCTTTAACGAATCATGGCGTCTTTCTCTATGTTCAACGTGTCTGTTTGCAATGCGTCGTGAATATAAATAATCGGATTTCCTGTCAATCAAAAAAACGTCGATGGACTCTATGCATATTGATTTCCTACTGTACCATGGAATTAGAGGTCACAGTGTAGTAAAATGCCATGGTAGTTCTCTGGCAAGTTGCGTAGGGACCGAGGTCAGTGACCTCCAGTTCGGCAAGGCGACATTAATGTACGGCATATAGATGAAAAGGTGAACTTATTTTTTTTTAAGACTGACGTAACAATGGCGATAAGATCTTGCCACTCCCAGCCAGGGAGAAACAATTATTATTGGGCGTTTACTAACGAAATTTTCTCTTGTCGGTTTCAGGCTTTACTGTCGCTCAAAAATGCAGTCGAATCCTTTGCAGAATTCCCCAAGAAAATGCAGCATTCCCTTGTCAGGGTTGGTTGGTATGAAAGGTAACGGCCACATATTTAATTTTTTTTTCGCATACGTCGACGAGTTGGTGTTTCATGTCGACTTCGAAACATGTTATCTTAGAAATGGCAAAGGCTGAAAAACATCCACACTCTGTCGAAACAATCTAGTATCTTACGATGATTCGTAAAACACTGATTGTTCTCAGTGAATGATTGCAAATGACACACAGCAAACTTTTGTGATTGTTATGTCATCGACAGGATATAATAATGGAACTTAAAGGGAGAGTGGACTTACATTTGAATTCTACTTCTAATTACGAGTGTTTAATATTTTTTGGCGTGAGTTCACTAATTGTTATAGCTTTATTATCATAGTCGTCGTGCAGCGCGTTCAAATGTCAAATAATAGTTTTAACTTGCGTTGTACACACAACACAGTTGCATATTGTACATTTCATTAACCCCAATAGTGTAGCCGTCGATCTGGAAATCATTTTTATTTAAAGCGGGGGAGTCGTCATCTGCGCACGAGTCAGATGGCCATAGTTTACAAACAAGCGTCTACCCATGAGCCTTTGCGTTTTTAGCGTGTGTTGTTATCGTCGCCTGGGACTCAATTCCCGCGCGTGCGCAAGTGACGACCCTCCCGCTTTAATATCCGCCAACATTACTCAATACACACATCATGAACTGCTCTTCCAGTTAACTTGGAGCTGTGAAATATGTTGTGGTTTCAAAAACAAAATAGCTAAAACCTGTGTTTTTTTATGCAGACATATTACCCAAATTAATTTAACAGAAATTCTGAGCATCGTTGTTTTATCTATTCAACTTCATTGTTATCCATTTTGTATACATTATTTCACTGTAATGTTAAAATCCTTTAATGATTAAGTGGAAACATGGCGCCGTGTTTGTCAGTTGATAATAATATTATTAATTTCGGTTGAATATATTTGTGTATGTTATGGTGATTTGTCACTTACCTGTTATTATTGTATTCTCAGTTACGAGGCTTCCAGAGTTATTATTAGACAAGGCCACCACGCTGAGAATTTCTATATGATTCTTTGTGGCACTGCCGTTGTGACGTTATCCACGAGGAATTCTAAGACCGGTGAAACGAACATGAATACAGTAGCATTCCTTAAGAAAGGAAACAGCTTTGGGGTGAGTAGAAAAAAAAAAGTGACCCATGTTCAGTCTAAAATAGACATTCACCACAGTCTTCGCATAAAACGTGTCTAGTTTAATATTCGAAATGGAAATAAAAATGAAAATGGACGTAGGAGCGACGAAAAAAATAGTCGCCATATTGTTTAAAACTCGAATGATGGTTCGAGTCGCATTGTCGTTTTACACCCGCTGGGCGCCACTGTGCGAAGAACTTTAAGAAGAACACAGAACACTTTCCCGGGGTATTTGAAACCGAAATTGTCATCTAACTGTAAGGACGTCGCTGATTGGCTGCTGAGTTGAAATGCCAATTTGTGGTTTCAAGTACCCCAGGAAAGTGTTCTATGTTCTTTCTGTAATTAGGTGTTCATATTCAGGGAATTTTTCCACATAAAAACGACGTAATTGGCCGATTTTTTTTAGTGGTTGGCTTATTATTAGCTCAACGGATCCTTTTGACTCTGAAAGATTGGTATTTTTTTGCGATTTGTAGGATTTTGAAAAACTCGTTTCACAACTTGTCTATTTATTTAGTTTCATGCCGTATTCAAGATGGCGGCCCCCATATAGTAAATATCGCATTTGTGTACCAGTTAGAACTATGCGTTCAGTATGGACTTCTAGTTCAAATACTACCACTTAGGACTGGTCACTCTCGTAAAAAGTGGGTTGCCCGGGCCCCTATTTTTTCCATATCGCTACTAAACGAATCGAGCATTACATAAGCCAATATATATTACACCTTTTCATTTGTATTTGTACAGGAACTTGCTATAATGCACCATTCAAAGAGAACTGCCACCGTAAGCTGCCAAGACGGCGTTGAACTGCTAGCTGTGGGCAGAGAGGTGAGAAGGTTTTCCTTATCGTATCTAATCGTGAGCCCATTCCGGTATTTTACAGTGCGCCACCAAGCGATTGAAAAGACCAATACCCATCCAGATTCCAGTGAGACTCGTTCTTGATGGCTATGACCACTCTGTGTGGTCATTATATCATTATTTCTTTATTTAAAGCGGGAGGGTCTTCACCTGTGCACGCGCGGGAATTGAGTCCCAAGCGACGATAACAACACACGCTAACAACGCAAAGGCTCATGGGTAGACGTTTGTTTGTAAACAACGACACGATCTGGCCATCTGACGCATGCGCAGCTAACGAATCCCCCGCTTTAAGACTTTTTTGAAAAACAAATAAATATATTTTCACTTTATTTTTTACCTTGTAGGATTTCGTTGACATTTTTATGCACAGGAGCGAGGGAGCTGAGCCTGAGTTCATACAATACTTACGGACATTGGTCGAATTTCAGGGTTGGCCAGTACATCAACTACCAAACGACGATCCCAAAATTTGTCTTTATATGTTTTTTCGTCGGGGCTGTGTTATATGTAAAGACAGCAACCAAACGGATTGGATATACGTCATTAAATCGGTGAGTTAATTTGATACTAGTGTATAAATATCACGTGGTGGCGCTCGTCGGCGAATCTGTATTTGGCAGCAATGTGTTGAAGACTGTGAACTTATTTTATTTGTGCCCCTTTTTCGTTTTTCTTTTTTTTCAGGGTTCTTGTCGCGTGTTGAAGAAATTACAAGCTACAAAGCCGGACATCCGAGGACTTCGATCAGTAGTACCGAACGCACAGATACCCTTAAGTGAGTATACATTATCGAACTTATATCGACAGTCATTGAATTTATGAGAAATGGTGGTCATGATCACTTGATATGTGATTTAAAAGTGTAACTTATTTGTTTGTAGGTCCCAGGAGTAGAGCAGGCGAACGGTCGATGACCTCTCTTTCAAAAAGCCACCCTTTGCCAAGGGTAGTTCGAACACGACCGAGTACCGTGTCGTCACTGAAAGATCCAGAACCTCAACGGAAGAAGTCGTTACCATCGATACGAGTTAAAAGTCCCGGTCAAGGTAAGACATTTACCGGTGCTGTTTTAGTAAGTATTTTAGGAAAGTTCTTAAACTCTGCTACTTACGTTACCAACGAAACGCAAAAATGAATCTGCAGCACCGATATTTGGAGTGTAGTTGTGTAATAAACCATCTGTGTTATTTTTTTAATTGCAGTGAGCAAAGACACTGAGGAGTTTGAGAAAAAACTCGAAGAAGAGCGAATGGAAACGAGGTCACTGAATGGAAGGGATCGTAGTTCACAACCATCGTCACCGGTGAGTTTCAAGTTGGCTTGGTTGAATTTCCGGAAAGAATATTCCCCTACAAATACGGGATACTTTATATAAAGTGTGCTATTTTTTTCCTTCTGCAGAGCGTGTGTACAGAAACTGCGTCTACTATTATTTAAGATTTGTTTTTTATCCCCGCAAAAAAGAATCCGCTGAATGGCGACTGTTACTAATCAATGACGTCACAATAATTGTTTACCTCCAAATTTCTTTCCAGAGGGCGGCATTCAGTGTTAAGTGTGAATCGCCACCGCCAAGATCAAGACGAGCACCAAAAAATGTATACGTACAACTGCAAAAACTTGTAGAAAAAGACATATTTGTAAGTTTATCTTATATTATTAAAACGCACAACTAAACAAATCAGCATCACATTATTACCTTATTAGGTCTGATACAGTCAATGACAATCACATTGTGGTTTAGCGCCCTCACAACTCTTTTTGAATGATATATTGTTTCCAGGTAATTTTTCATCAATATTATCGTTGCTTGTATTTCACAATTTAATAAATGGTCATAAGTTCGCGTAATAGTACGCTATGACATGATCAGATCAGTTTCCATGCAAACCATAACATTTACCAACTATTGTACAAAGAAGTGCGGATATACCGTGCTGAGTACTATAGCGCCACCCTGCGATAAAATATGAAGTTTCTAGAAATGTGTTTACTATGGATTCTACCAGAATAATTAAAATATACTGATATAGTTTGGCCTCTGACCCGGATTATTTTAACACGTTCTACGTATTTTTTTCAGGGCCTTATTCCCATAATTCTAGGAGAGGTAGAGGGCGGTTCAATGAGCACAGTGCTAGTCTCAGACGGAGCGGAGTGTATACTAATCAACAAGAAATTCTTCTTACAACATCTTACACAATCACAACGGAAAAGGTTGCGTTTAATGGTAAGATTTCCCCGTCATTAAATGCCCAAAATAAAACCATTGTGCCAAGAAAAATGGCCCTGGTCTCATTTGTGGCGGAAAATCTTTGATTCAAGGAATTTCATGTCATTATACTGTTTCCATTAGCCGCGTTCTCAGTCTAGTGATGACGCGCTTCTGTTACATAAATGGCTGCGAAGAGCGTCGTCCAATATTGTTCATATTGTTTTGATCTGTGGTACATAGTCTGTCTGACAAAATATCTTAATACATTTATCCAAAATATATATTTTGTTATAACATGTGTGTCTATTTGAACGACATTGCTTTCACACATCGCGTTCATCAAGTCGTCGCTTGATGGCGCGATTTTATTGGAAAGGTGTACATTTGATTGCGTATCATCGCCATGTCATCATCACACTTTTTTTTTGTAACAACCCCAGCGTTGAAGAGAGTTCTGTACCTTGTAACCACATTTTGAAATTTTCTTTTTAATTGCCATCTTACAGTTACGGCCCTATCCGACGGAAGGAAGTCTACAACAACGTCTGCAGGACCAGACGAATTGGCAGGCCTACAAAAGTATGATGATGAGCACTATGCCAAGTTTTCAACAACAGTTTCACACGGAAGACCTCCGTTTATAAGGTTACAAATCACAACAAAACGGGAAAGCTCAAAAATGTCATGAAAACATTCAACCTAGACTTCTTGGTCGGTCATTGACCATATATGGAGGTCAAAACAAGATGGAGGGAGATGAATTGACCGAACGATACAGCATCAGTGTGTATGATTTTGGTGGATTGGGCGAATGCTTACCAAAATCCGTAGTGGTGCTTCGGCTGTGTTGTTGTCTATTTACATTGACATTTCGAATGAGGAAGGTGGCTACCCAGTCAGACCAATCAAAGAGCAGCTTATTTATCAGACCAATCAAAGAGCAGCTTCTTTGTTGACAGGTTTTGTATGCTCGGGCTCAACTGAACGATTGCGATTGCTGACTGTAACGTCAGCTGGAGGAACGCAGCCGATGGCTCTTTGATCAACAAGTCGTGCAGGCCGTGTACAGCTGACTGCTGCTGGTAGGCATGTTAGGGATGGCCAAGACTCGTGTTTGCTAGGATAGTGACGATGCATGCTACAAACTGAAAATATGGTGTAATGAATCCAAACACTAACTGTTGTATAATAAGGGATGAACTTGTGTTGGGAGATGTGGCTATCATAATGACGATGTTGAGTTGTCGTAATGTTGTGGACATCTGAGCTGTCGTTGGAATGTTATTATAGACAGATGTTAAATAACGTGTCCTTATAGTTTTATGGCGATGTTGAGATACTTTCAGGACTAGGTTTCGTCGCAAAGGTGGGGTGTTGTCGCGATGTTGAGCCATCGTCGCATTGTTGATGTGGTGTGGCGTTGTTATGACCACGTTAATAGCTATCATCGTGTTGTCATGGTGCTGTGGCGATGTTAAGTTGTCGTCGCAATATTGTGGTCACATATTACAGATATATATACATATATATAGGATATATAGTGCTGAGCAGATGCGTGAACATCCGTTACAGTTGTAAATAAAAAATCTTTTCGCATTACTTTTGAGAAAATATATAGAGGAAAACAACAGCTGCTATATGTGTTATATCGATACTTTGCTGAAGGTGCCGATTAATATTCAAGACAAAAAGAAAACAATTTCCGCTTTATTCCGTCCGCTACTGTCGCCACCAACGGCAGAAAAATGCCTATATGGCGTCTATAGGGGGCGCTGTCTTATGTAAATTGTTATTTATCGCAATTGCGTGTACCATATTGTAAAAAAACAGATGTTGAAATCAGAATAAATATAACATGTTTTAATTATTATTTTGCATGTTTATTTATGGCTGGCACACTTAAAATGCTCGATCTCATGATTGGGGGGGGGGTCCGATTCGTCACGTCCTGAATATCTGTGTTCTGAATATCATCCACTCGAATCGTGCTCCGTTTTTCAAAGTAACTATATGAAATAATTATCCCCAATTATTAATTGTAAAGGAAAGCTTTACACCCGAAGCACAGTCTGTGCTTATGAAAACAAAGGAAACTTTGATTTTTGCTTAAATTTGTGTTGGATTTTGGTATTTTACAGAGCAAAATATGCATATTTAAAAGTTAAAAAACAAAAAAACTATTTATTTATTTTTTCATCATGTATTTTAATTTATATATCAGCATTTTCACAAATTTAACTTTTTT